ATAGATTCCGTAAATTCACCTGCATACGATGCATGAATTAATTGAAAGGAATACATTCAATACAGTATTACGAATTATCATTAAAATTTATCGACACGTGACGAAGCAACGAACATTATCATGTGCAAAGAGCGATGATGAAATGATGCACAAAATTGGACATTGCGTAAACACTGCATCATTATTCATAGCCATTAAAGTCGCAGATACGATCTTCCATTTTGTCACGCTTTTTCACCCATTTAACATATTCTGGATTGCCCGTCTTTCTCATCGTCTGTACAAGGCATGCGCAGCATGAGTGCGAAATTGATTACTCTGGAGATGAGCATAGGTCGTGACCCTCAAGGCACAATTTGCCATAGAATCATCAGGAGACACGGTAACAGGTGAATGTGAATGACATCGCTTTGTCCTGATTGACAGTAAATCACAATGTTCACGATTCAGGCAGATATTTCTCACCATCCCTCGCTTTCTTATCGATAAAAGTTACAAAATCCTCATTGCAATGATCTGCCAGAATACAACTGCTACTGTGAAGCTTCGTCAAACCACAGACAAATTGAAATCCTTAGAGGTCGTCCGACAGGGTGATGCTACGTCACTGAAGTCATTCGTCGCAGCCACATAAGAGGCGTGCAAAATACTCCGTTGGGAAGATGACTGTCTGAGCGTAAATGGACACTATTTAAGCGTGTGATTTGCAAACGATGTTCTTATCATTTCGAGGTAAGCAAAAGAATCGAAAGTTTTATGATGCCGACATTAAATTAGGACTGAAAATGAACCTTAAGCAGACTCGGGCTATATTTAGCAAATGCATGACTCGACGAGTGCAGAACTACGTCGATGTAGGACAGCTTTCTTCTGCAACTGAGAACAGACTCTGTGAAACCAACAGAAGAATAAAAAAAGCATGAAATACTTTTCGAAGACTGAAAATGTTTTTATCTGGAAAACTGCCTATGTGCTTCAAACAGAAATCCTTCGACCAGTGTATGCTATCATGCTAACGTATGGGTTCGAAGAATAGACCCCGAACCTGAAAACTAATCATAAATGCATCATAGAAAGAAAGATAGGTAAACAAATTAATAAATAAGAGAACAAATAAAAATATGCCATCTCCTTACCTGAATGCAGATTGGTAATGGAAGAATCCGTCATTGTTGTATCAGAATATCACAGATTGGATTCCAAGAGAGGATAACAGGAAGTAGGAAGATATACAGATCGATGACAGGATCGGTAAAGAAGTTGGACAACGTGAGAAAATGGCAAATAGTACAAATCTATAGTCAAGCTGAGAAGCCTTCGTTCAGAAAGATGAATCGGAAAAGACCAATGATATTAATTATGCTTCCTTTTCATATATGATTCCCTTCTTTATGGCTACCTCGTGCCGAATGTTGAGTTTGTATGAGTAGAAACCAAACACCCAGCATGTTCATGAAGATCAGTAAGGAAGTCTTGAAACATTATGCAGAAGCGCAAGCACTGCTTAGCGTCACGGGACTGTTATACTAATTAATAATCAAGAACTTATTAAATCAATTTCTGTCCCAGTTGGAACAGAGACCACGCGTAGTATTACAGTACAT